TGCACCTAGCATTACTACTCATAGGTTTCTATAGTTGAATGCAAAGTTAGTGATTATTTAGTGAATAGTTGGAGTTACATTTGAACTCTTAATCTATTTAAACAAAGTCAGTTAGAGGAGGAGACGAGTTGAGGTGAGATGATGAGACAAGACGAGATGAGTCGAGGGATAAGAAGGTGCAACATTTAGAACATAGTACATTGATTTTTGAATTAACCGCAACTGTACAAATCTTTTCTGCTGGCTCTGTTTTTTATTTTCTACACAACTTCGAACCGACATAAATTTTGTTTTGAAATTTTCTACTCTGCTGCAACAATATTGCTGTCAGCTATTTTGTTTTAATGTTTTCATGTATATATCTTTCACATTCAGTGTCCCTGCAGAATTAGTTTATGCATATAGGAACTTGAGTTCTTTGACCAATGTTGTATATAGTTGTACGCAAAATTAGTAACTGTTCGGAGAATAGTTGGGAGTTTAAAATTTGAACTCTAAATTTCTTTAAACAAAGTAGGTTAGAAGAGGAAATGAGTTGAGGAGAGGCGAAGAGACAAGACGAGGTAAGGCGAGAGACTGATGCATTGCCTTCTAATAAAAATAAAAAGGCGCAACATTTAGAACATACATTGTACATTAATTTTCTGCTCTGCTGCAAATTTGCTGCCACCTGCTCTGTTTTAACGTTTTCTGCCAACATGTTGTTACTCTAGCTCGTCTTTTATGTTATTCATTTTAGTCCTATTTGAAATCGATTCAATAGAAAATACTACAGTCCACCTTGTTTTTCTCCCTGCGACTATGGCTGATCGTTGGGTTCCCCGGCCTCTGGAGCAGCTGCCTGCATCCATAATTATATTAGTGTATGAATCATGACCTTTGTGAATCACGTGCACTATTTCTGTTGAGTCAGTTTCAATTTGTGTCTCGACTCTGGCAGTACCCATCTCCGTTTGCACCTAGCATTACTACTCATACTTTTCTATTGTTCTATGCAAAGTTAGTGATTATTTAGAGAATAGTTGGAGTTACATTTGACCTCTTAATCTATTTAAACAAAGTCAGTTAGAGGAGGAGACGAGTTGAGGTGAGATGATGAGACAAGACGAGATGAGTCGAGGGACAAGAAGGTGCAACATTTAGAACATAGTACATTGATTTTTGCATTAACCGCAACTGTGCATATCTTTCCTGCTGGCTCTGTTTTTTATTTTCTACACAATTTCATAACGACATAAATTTTGTTTTGAAATTTTCTACTCTGCTGCAACAATATTGCTGCCAGCTATTCTATTTTAATGTTTTCATGTATATATCTATCACATTCAGTGTCCCTGCAGAATTAGTTTATGCTTACAGGAACTTGAGTTCTTTGACCAATGTTGTATATAGTTGTACGCAAAATTAGTGACTGGTCGGAGAATAGTTGGAGTTAA